CAAACTGGTTCATGTCACCTTGCGTAGCTACGCCATTTATGCCAACGGATCGTTGGGGAGGCTGTCCTTCCAGCAATCCAGGTAAATTTGGCAACGCGAGAGCTAGCAGATCATCTAGAATCCCTCTCTCTCTATTGCTCCCAAATACGGTATCGTCGGGTAGTGCAAGAGTCTTCCTTCGACGCTGTTGCATTAGGGGAAGGACGCGCTTTAATGGCACATACGCCCGCATTTCATCATTGCAAGGATTTTTGGATCGCACCGCCGCAAGTGCACCTTTATAGAGCTGGCGAGAGTTTTCTTCTGGAACTGAAGGAAACAGCTCATTTGGTTCAGACGGGGAGAACGGTGGGGCCAGGAGGACGTCCAAAGTCGATCGAGTCATTTTTGATTGTTCAACAGGTATAATACACTCATAGTTGGCACGTTTTCGTTTCCTCGTTTCTGAAGGGAGTGAAAAATCAAGTGCAGCATCGAAACCACTCAAATTTTCATCATCAGATGGGCCCAACGCAGGTGATATCGTATTTACTCCAGGCTTCGGAACTTGCTCCAGCAAAGGGGACACTTGATCGCCGGGTGCAATCGTTGGCGGCAATGCGCACCTATTTACCTGTTCTGACGTCTCTCTCGTTGATACATGGTGATCAGGCAGGCTGGCTAACCTCTCCGTGAGAGTCTCCCCCGACATGGGTCCAAGTTCATCGATATCTGCAGAGGCACAAATTTAATACTTGTGACTAAAGTATCAACCGTCATCACAGGGTTGCTTTTGGTGCACTGTACGGTCGGGGTGCTCCGTCAGCGGTTGGCCGAGAACAGCCTACTCACTTATAGGAAAGGCGCCGGGTTCCATAACCGGAAAGCCGGTGACTTCCTCGGTTTCCGACGGAGCGAGAGCAATACCGTCATGTTCGCTTGCCAATGGCAGACTGACTCCATATCTGCTGAATCTTAAACCTCCAGTGCCCCCTAGCGTTGTGTTCGTCCCTGAACCCACCGTGTCCTGCACGTCGGTCGAGGTCGATAAAATTGCTCGCTTGGCCCATGCTCTACAAAAGTCCCGCAACGCTTCCGGGTCAACACCTAATTCCTCTAAGCTTCTTGAAGCGTCTTCCAAATTCGTAACCGTTCGACCTTGCAGCTGAGAATACTCGGAGGCCCTGGTCGCCAGCAAATCCAAAAATCGCACAAGCAGGTCTGAGAGCACTGCACAAGCGGAGTCTTGAACCCGCTCAAAACCCGCCTGGTGAAGAACTTGAGCGACCGCAATGCGGACCAGGTTTGCAGCAAAAGAGTCGCTCATGCCTAACACTGTGTTAGAGCTCAACCACCGATATTCGTTTAAAATGTACGTTAGGACGTCTTCCAGAGTCAGGATCATCACGTGGATTGTGTATCACGTGAGAGATCATTCAAGGTCTGTGACTGCGCCGCTTCAAGTTCTCTTCAAATGCGCTTGCTACTTTCTTGTGGTTCTCGCTGGTTGACCACAAATTCTCTGCGGGCTCGTGGAATGGCTCAAGTTACGACAGCCACTGCTGCAGCCGTTGCGCTAGCAGAGGCTCTGGTGACGGAAGGTGCATCGACGCTTTATATTTATTGCGACCGGTCATAAGGAAGTGTGTTCCTTTGTCCTCGTTCTGAACCCACTGCTTTATTGTTCTGGTGTTACCCCTAGCTAAGCGCAAGGCTTCGTACACGGCTGTTGACGAGCACATAACCACAGAAACACGAGTTGTGGGGATAGGTACACGACAGGCAGAGGGACACAAAAGACGTATTCGAGTTCACCAAAGCTTTGATAGGTTCAGGGAGTACGGTTGTGTTTTGCGTCGAACGATTAGCACAACGCGTAAAATCTGAGAACCTGGGGATAAAAGCTTGCATTCCAACATCATTCCAAGCAAAGCAGTTAATCATCGAGGCTGGGTTGCCACTATCTGAGTTGAACCAGTTCCCCGACATTGATGTGGCCTTCGATGGTGCGGATGAGGTCGATGCACAGTTGAATTGCATCAAAGGCGGTGGTGCTTGTCAATTGCAGGAAAAACTGGTTGCGAGCTGCGCAAAGAAGTTTGTCATTGTCGCAGACTACAGAAAGAACTCGATGGTTTTGGGAGAGCAGGTATATATATAAGCCTAACATAGTACCTTTGCGTCTTCTGACAAAATCGCTTCGTTTTCATACAGTGGAAGCTGGGTGTACCGCTAGAGGTGATTCCCATGGTGTACGCTCCGTTACTCTCGGTAGGGATTACTTTCGCGTCAGCGTAAGGTTACCTGCAACTGACGATTGTCCCCGTGGCATTCAGAAACTTCGGGCGCTAGGCGCAAACCCTGTTCTTAGGATGGCTATGCGCAAAGCAGGGCCTGTTGTAACGGATAACGGAAATTTCGTCATAGATGCAGACTTCGGTGGCATTCAAGATCCTGTCGCGTTGGAACGTATGTTAATTGCGATTCCCGGTATAGTGGAAACGGGACTCTTCTGTAATATGGCGAAATGGGCATACTTTGGAATGCAGGATGGGTGAGTAGCCGTTTTTCCCCTGCAGTTCTTTGTGATGCGTATTAGCTTATCGTACTTGGGGGCATTCACTACAGTTCTGTTCAACTGCGCAGTGCCTAGATCTGAGACGAAAGGCAGGGCCCTATTATTCACGAAGACCACATGAGGCGCATCTCCGCATTTTTCATATGGATACAGAATATATTGCAAGCCACATATACATGTAAACCCGATTCTCAACTCAACTCCATCAATGCCACAAATGACTTTTTACGTTATTGTTGTTTACACTCCTGTGGCTTCTCCGTGGAAGTAGTGCCAACCGCCTGACAGTAATCTTTCAGTGCAAAGCTCCACACACGTGAATAGCTTCCATCATACCTGAGTACCATCATCGTCGTCATCCTCCACATCATCTATATGGAATGTAAGACATTTAGCAAGTACCGGAACGAGACTGCAATCTCCAGATCTCACTCACCGTCATCACCATCATCATCATCATCCTCTCCAGGATACCATTCTTCGATATCATCTGGAAATGACTTGAGTTCCTTCGCTGTTGGTGTCGGTCAAATCAAGAGCTCAGTTCACCTTCATCAAACTCTCCTTCTTCGTACTCCAGAGCCTTCCCAGTAAACCAATCGATCGCCCGGGGGATCAATTTCTCCTTGACAATTTCACCGACTTCATAATCGGCTTCGAGTTTAGCATCCAGTTCATGAAGCTTATCAAACATGTTAAGGGACTTTCGCCAACTATATAGTAAAGACGGACTGACGGATTTTCTCACCTCTTCATCGTCCGCCTCTTCGTCATCCACAGGTCCCTTTGGGGGATTAAAAAATTGGAAGAAAGTTTCCGCTGGTACTGTCTTCTTGACGGTACGAGTCTTGTTGTCCCTATTTACAGCCATCAATACACAACCGCTTGGCTTGATATGCCAA